CGATACGATACAACACAGTACAAAACGATACGATACAACACAGTACAAAACGATACGATACGACACAGTACAAAACGATAAGATACAACACAGTACAAAATGATACATTTCGACACAGTACAAAACGATACGATTCGACACAGTACAAAACGATACAATTCGACACAGTACAAAACTATACGATTCGACACAGTACAAAATGATATGATACAACACAGTACAAAATGATACGATTCGACACAGTACAAAATGATATGATACGACACAGTACAAAACAATGTGATATGATACGATTTGACACGACACAATGAGATTCAACACAACAGATTACAACACAATACCGGCATTCCTGAAGAAATACACTTTATTCCAAACTGGAAATCCTTCAATGAAACTTGCTTTTAAAAGTTCAAAAATATAAGAGATAAATATGAGATACTACCAAAGTTGAGCCCAACCTTGACTAGGCTCCACCACCAGATGTCAAAGAGTCCCCAAGCTCCAGAACACCAAAGCCCTTCCACGAACGTGCTTCTAAGCAGTTCTCATCAATTCAGCATCAGCCAAGCATGTCTCCATTTCTAGTTCCTGCATGGTTTTTGGACCCAGCCCAGCGGTGGTTCCAGGGGTGATGACACCAAGTTTGGTACGCAAGTGATTTTTACATCATGTTTTAAGAGTCAAGATAAATTCAGTGAATTAAAATACTGTGAGAAACAAACAAATCCAGTYATCTGAGTCTTATCTTCTGAGATGCTTCATGTCTTTGTTCTCAGTGATGACTGACACTCACAGACTGTAAACACCTAAATAAACCACTACTGAGACAGCACAGCTGAGTTTGTTTGAACTAAATTCAAAGTGTTACATGTGAAATCAGTAATGTGAATTCCACTCAGTGACTTCCACACCATTGTAGCTCAGTCTTTGAAAAATTGACATGGTTGTAATTATTTTTGTGTTTCCTAAACTAGTTGGCTGTGGTAGCCATCTTGTATTGGGTTCGCTTCATTACTTGTAGATATAATTAGTTTCAGTCTCATTAAAATCCCTGCAGTGGTTCATCAGATACTTTGTAATCAAACTGGCCTCACTCCAACAACAAATATTTTGCTCAATGAGTTAAACTGCTCAGCTACTAACACAGCATGTTTTAGCTCAATATCTGTTAAACTGCTCTTGTGTGACAGCCATCTTTGTGTTTTCTAAGACAAATTCACTTCAAATGGTAAATAGACTACAATTATATAAAGTCATCTTCAATTATGTAGGTTTTGTCTAAGAGCATCACTAAAATCTTCTAGTGATTCAAGATATTTGACTAAAAAATAAAAAAGTTGATTCCAATGATTTATGCTATTTAATTATTATTATTATTATTATTTTTTTTTTTTCTTACAAATTTCCTATTTTTAGTGCTCAGAGTTAAAGTTAGGAATCTGTCCTGGGAACTTTAGCTCAGTAACTGTAAAATTGACTCAGTTAAAGCTGTGTTTGTGTTTGCTAAGACAGCTTAGCTATGGTAGCCATCTTGAAAGGACTTTAAGAGGTAATCTAACTGTTTTAGCCAACAGTTAATGATGGATGATAATAGTTTATACAACAGCTAATATTTCTGATACATGAAAGACTCTGGGTTACATTACCAGCTCATGGTTCATCCTTTAGGATAAGTATTTTGATTGATAAGATGTAAGAAGATTATGTTATTTTCTGAAAACCTCACAACCTTTCTCCAGAGCAGAGATCTGAGCTTTCAGTGTCTCCTTCTGGACTTCCACTTCAGCTTTCTGATCCTCCATCTGGTGGAACTTCTTCTGGGTGGTTTCTCTCATCTTGGTTTGTTTGGAGACCTCCTGACGCAGCTGACTCACCTCCTCTCCTCTTAGCTGGTCAGTGGAAAGGTGGGAGATGAAATGAAAAAAGAATATTTTGAATAAAAAGGAAGGCAAAGGTTTGAAAAAATGCTCATTGGATAGTAGATGTTTCTACATAAATATAATGTCCTGGATGGATAGAAAAGTGATATATAAGTAAAGTCCATTTACCATATGTATGTATGTTTGTACTGTATATATA